GTTCCACCAGGGAGGGGGGGCAGTCGCCCTGAAGGCTGGTGCAGGGCAGGAACAGGGCGGAGACAAGGAAGGCCTCCAGGGCGGATCAGCGAGTTCAGGGAGGTGCAGGAATAGGTGTCTCGGAGACAGGGGCGCCGCTAAGGGGGGGAAAGTTAGGATGATGCTAAAGGACCACGCACTTTTGCGGCCCCCAGAGATCTGTTTTATAAGTAGTAACAGTAGTAGTAGTAGTAGTAATGTAATAGAAATTATAAATGTATCTACCACTACCAAAGAGTTACAAATAAAACAATTACGGCTTATTTCTGCATTTCCAGCAAAATTATCTTCCCCCATTCACTGCATGGTTTCGTCCCGTCCTACGTAGCCTAGAGTCACACGTGAGGTTGTCATGGCAACCAGATACACTGCATGCGAATTATGGCTGTGCTTCTATTTTGCCACACTAAACTTAGAAATAAACACATTGAAAATAATACACAATAAACATGTCTGTCAAAAAGATCTCAAAGAAGGCCTTTATTAAGCAAATCAAGGAGTGAATTACTCATCCACTGTTTAAAAAAAAAATGCTTTAGCTGGGTTTCCACAGGCAGGGTCACAATTATCTACGGTGTATGAAGCTAAAGGTTTTTGGGTTAAGGTTCATAACGTAGAACATTTTTAACATTGTATGCTGTATGTGCATAAGTAGCTAGCAAAGAAAGAATACAGCCGTTAAGCTAATAGTCACATTTAGCTGAGTAAGATCATGATTGAGAACCTTGCCTTATACATGGAGGCATTGTTGTTTTAGAATAGAAAAGGGTCCTGTTCAAACTATTGGTATAAAATTAGAAGCACACAATTCCCTAGAATATCATTATTAGCAATAAACACATTGAAAATAATACACAATAAACATGTCTGTCAAGACGATCTCAAAGGAGGCTTTTATTAAGCAGATCAAGGAGTGAATTACTCATCCACTGTTTAAAAAAAAAATGCTTTAGCTGGGTTTCCACAGGCAGGGTCACAATTATCTACGGTGTATGAAGCTAAAGGTTTTTGGGTTAAGGTTCATAACGTAGAACATTTTTAACATTGTATGCTGTATGTGCATAAGTAGCTAGCAAAGAAAGAATACAGCCGTTAAGCTAATAGTCACATTTAGCTGAGTAAGATCATGATTGAGAACCTAAAGTAGTCAAACCTGTTCCTTAGAAGGGGGTGTCCCAATACGGTGTATGTTTGGTGCGGTAGGGGGCCCAACTTCATATTCTTTCATAGGGCCCAAAATTGCTAGCGGCGCACCTGCTCGGAGATGGCCTCTTTGGTGGTGTCTGGAAGAGCCAGAGGCTCTGGAACGATCGCCGTGACTGTATCGCAGAAGACGAGGGCATCAGAACAGGGAACGGTCCCCATTAACGTAATGAGGAGGCTAGTGATAGCCATAGTGACCGCAACCAGTGAGCAGGGTGAGCTTGAGATCCAATCAGCCTCCATGGCTGAGACGAGGGACTTAGAAGCACGGGAGACACTGACGGCCTCTTTGGCTGAGATGCAAAAGACCGGAGAACAGGGAATCAGGACGGCCACGTCAGCCGTCAGGGTATAGCCCCACCCCAAAATTTTCTTTCTGGAAATTATGGGTATGTGTGCAGTCCAAACACACATAATAGCCACTGCTGTTATAGTCAGAGTCAAGGTAATTTCGGTTTCAACAATCGCAGGTTCCGCAAGCACAGTGACCACTGAGCAGGACTCTGGGATGTGAACAGGAACTGTGCTGAGCTCTGGGATGAGAGCCAGCTCGTAACTGAGCTCTGGGGACGAAGCAAACTTGGGACTCTGATCAGGGGCTGGAGCCTGTACTGGACTCTGGTCAGGGGCTGGAGCCAATGTGTGGCCCAGACACACATACACATGCTAGTGCCATTATGGACAGTACAATGCTCTCCTGGCTGAGTTCTGGGGCTGGAGCGGACTCAGGGGCTGGAGCCGACACTGGAGCGGACTCTGGGTCTGGAGCCATGGAGGACAGTCTCCTTTTCCTCTTCCTCCTTTGGGCTGAGGTTTTAACAGTCTCAGGACTGGGCTGACACTCTGGAGTAAATTTGTGGGCTGGAGTGGACTCTGGAGCAGACTTACGGGCAGGAGTGGACTCTGGAGCGCATCCTGGAGCGGACTCTGGAGAGAGGATAAGGGCTGAAAACAGTCTTTTCCTCCTCATCCTCCTTTTTTGGGCTGAGGTTAAAGAAAAGGCTGATATTATCATAGGTCTGGAAAGTGAATCAGCCGGCAAGCTTGAGAGTGGAGCGGCCGGTGTTTCTGGGCTGAGGACAGAAAAGGGTCTTGGTACTGGAGACGGACGAAGGGAGGCGGCTTTGAGCGCTGACCGGAGAGATGTATATGCAGGATCTGCCACTTTGGGTCTCAGGTGCATCCCAGTGCTGTTGAATGGCCACCTACGGGCTCGGGGAGACACAGAAGGATAGGGGTGGCCGGAGCCATTGGCCAGGGGTGAGCTCAGTACTGGTTCCCAGTAGGGGCTGGACGAGAACGGCTCTTATCTTTTCTAACTTCCTCTACCTCAAAGTTAGAGCCATTTAAATACAGGATGAGACTAGGGCTGCACGATAAATCGCATGCGATATTTAACGCGCATCTTATCAGTAAAGCTGGTTCTGTAATCAGCGGTAAATCTCCATCACCTGCGGGCTTTCACATGATGAGACTGATTAACTCGACCAAAGAGAAATCACATATGGGAGAACTACAGCGAATGGTATTCTCGTCCAGTCCCAACTGAAAACAGGCGCATAGTAAGGCATCAGGCCAGTTCAACAGATAGGAAAACTCGATAAATTTCTCGACATACCTCTCCAAAGGCCGACCACCTTGCCACAGGCACCATAGCTGGTCCTCAGCCCATCTTGTTTATGGTACTGTATTCTGTCACGGATTGTGGCTGTAGACAAGCGTACGACACAGGAGTAATCCACCAAACAGTCTTTAATTCAAACAGAAGCTCAAGAGAAAAGACAACCACAAACACCTAAACACAAACTAATACAGGACAAAGGAACTTGGGAGAACACAGGGCTTAAATGAGCAAAGACAAATCAGATAATGAATAAACACAGGTGGAACCAAATGAACTAATCAAGGAACACAGGAAAACTAGGTCAAGGCAGGTAGAACAGAAAAATAAATGTGACACTACCATGTCCAGAAAACAAATGAGTGGCCAAAGAAAGTTGGTTTGGTTTTTGTTTACAGCTTACTTCTAATTATAAATACTGAAAGCCTGTGGAACAGTATAGGTTTTTACAATATTATCTTAAAATTAGGGAATAAATGATAAGGAATAGTTCAGCCAAAAATTTAAATTTACTGAAACTTTACTCACCCTCAGGTCATCCAAGATGTAGACCAGTTTGTTAATTCATCCGAACAAAGTAGTAGAAATGTAGCATTGCATCACTTGTTCACCAATGGAATTAAATGGGTGCCGTCAGAATGGGAGTCCAAACAGCTGATAAAAACATCACAATAATCCACAACCACACGACTCCAGTCCATCAATTAACATCCTGTGAAAATTGAGTGTTTACTATTGTCATTTTGCATTATTGACACACTATTTTCCTATTTAATTCACAGATACTATTTAACCTGAACTGAGCTGGATGATGACATCACTGAATTCAAGTTGCTTTGACACAATCTGTATGGTTAAAAGCGCTATATAAATAAAGGTGACTTGACTTGACTTGAAGCAAAAATATGCATGTTTGTAATAAACAAATCCACCATTAAGACATTTTAAACTTTAAACCATTTCAAATTTTCATTTTTAGGTGAACTATTCATTTAATTACTTCAATTTCCTTTGAGCCTTGTAGGATGAAGGTAAAATTGATTATGTTAGAGTGTAATAAATTAGCAAGTAGCCCTACTAAATAAATGAACGTGCTTAATGTGTAATTATTTTATGGAATCACCTGTGAAAATCAACTGTTCATGTTGCTATTACAGTTAACTGTAGTAATATATATGCAAAATGTAATGTAAACTGTCACCAAATTGTAGAGAAGACATTTCAAATAAATTTAGACTAACGGTCAGCTCCATCAAAGAAAGTGAAATGCAGGATGCTCAGGAGTTCATTTGCATTTTGCTAACTTAAGATGACTGACGGGTTAATGCAATGGAATGCAACAAAATGATTGCACTCATAAATCACTACAAATACTCATACACAGATGGATGAGTATTCTGTGTGATTTATGGGTGGGCAGCTGGACAACTGCAATGACATCGCTGTAATTTGCGGTCACTTATGTGCTTGTTTTTACTCTTCTTTTAAAAGCTTTCGATGTTTATTGTGTCTGGATCTATATTTCAAATATGTTTTGTCTTAATATGCCATAATGGTGAGGAGCTAATAAAACAACATTTTAAATATAACCTCTGATATCGGTTGTGTTGAGGCTGCTCTGCCTAGCTCATGAACATAGGGGACGCTGTTTGTGTTTGAAACACTGTGATGTGATAGAGAAAGGCTTAATGCACACACACACACACACCGCCCAAATGATTCATTTTGTTCAAATGAAAGCACAAAAATGTAAATATTGTAAATCCATTCTAAGCAAATTTGTTGGTATTTGTTTTTTATTAATGTTTTACTCACCTTGGAGTTATGAGCAAGATAGATAGATAGATAGTTTAAAAATGTATTAAAAGCTGATTAAGAACTTTATGTTAGCGTTCTGATAATCCTGTCAGGGTTTGTTTTGTTTTAGTGACCGCGACCGACTGACTGTACACCTTCACGTAAATCAAAAGAATATTAAGGGATAATTCAATAAAAGTAATATTTCGCGCAGTTTGAACGAAACAGACACTTTCTGTAATTGACAGGCGATATGTTAGCAGTAGAACTGCATAGCCTACTTTGTGCGCTCGCGCTCGTTTGTGTCTGCTTGCGTGCGTGCGTGCGTGCGTGCGTGTTTACTCCCTCCCGATTCTCCGCATCTCATGATCCTGCGAGCGTCTCTAGGTGATTTAGCGCCGCCAGTCTGAAGCAGGTGTTCAACATGGCGATCTCGGGACTCGGATCTCACTCTATTTCACTCTTTTTCTTCGTGATTTTCGCAACGTTTCTGCATAAAGGTAAGACAAGCGGAGTATGTATGAAAGCTTATGTTTAGTATCGAAGCGAGAGCAGTGTGTAAACAACATATGTGCGCTCGCAGTATATGCACTACTCTCAAAGCTCTCATAGTTTATCTGCAACTGTCTACATCGTAAAAGCTACCATGTGAGGAGTTCTTTGGCACGTTTGACTGCTCTGGATGGTGTTTTTGGTTGTTTAGCTGGAGAAAAGTACAGTAACGGTACCCTAGTGCTGCTGATGAGAGGGACGCAAGTCCGTATCTCACAACCAGAAGTCAGTATTACATGCTGGTGATCTGAAAGCGGTTACATGAATATAAAATAGTCCTTATGTATATTTAATGCACATGTTTAACGTAGATTTTAAACAAAGAACGCACGCATTGCAGAATAACAGCACAATTGCATTGACTTTATGGAGTGACATTAGCGCGCACTGTCTAATTCGTCTCGAAACATATACCGGTCATCTTTAGTTCTCTCTGAAATCTTATACTGGCATTGCCATTTTGTCGAGTGGTTTAGTGTGGTGTTGGTGTTCTTAAAAAGACTGTTTTCAGCTTCATTTGGTAGTTTTCTTGGCTTACATGGGAAACGCTCCTGTGTTGGAGCATGGTGTGAGAATCGCGTATGGCAAGCTGGTTTAACATTTTTAGCTTTTTGCTAGCTAAAATCTACTGTTATGTTATTAGTACTTATTTCAGTTAATACTAATAGAATTGCAACTGCTATTTTTTAGTGGCACAACTATTCATTGGATTCTAGACATCCCAGTTCTGACAAGTATAGATTTAATCATTATTGAGTTCTATCGGGATCTGTGCCCTCAGTGCCCTTACAAAAATTAACAATGGTTTTACTACAAATAAAACAAACAAACTAAAAAAAAAACAGAACCAAAGCCATGGTTAATTTGTTAGTTAAACGATGGTGACCACAAATTAATCATGGTTTTGCTACACTAACCATAGTTTAACCATGGTATTTGTAGTAAAACTGTGGTTATACAAATGATAATCAATACGTCAAAAATCCATAGTTACTAAACTTTTACTATAATAAAACCTTAGGTTAATTTTCACTAGGGTAGTTCAGATATCAACTATTTACAGTACTTCTGGCTAGTAGGATTAGTTGGTACAAGTGCTTGTTCCGGGTTTTACTAGTGCTTATTTCTTATTTAGAAAACTGGTATATCCAAAAGTTCTGGTACATCCAAAAAGTAGTTACCCAAAAGTTAGCAGTAGTTATCCAAAAGCTACTATCATCTATTCCAGTTTGACTAGCATTATTAGTAACTATTAGCATTATTAGATACTAGTATCTATTCACAAAACAATACTATATCCCAGTTGTTACTTGTAAAATTTCTTACCAAGTTAAAACTGCCTTTTCTACTTGTCAAGGTATAGTATAGTCCAATTAGTTAACTACTGAAACACACACTTTAGGAAAACTAGAATAGATACTAGCTAAAGTATTCCTATAGCTACTGTTTGAATAGCTGAAGGTAACATAAAGAATTATTAGTGCCTAATGAATAGTTAGTTGTAAAGTTGGTTGAAAGTGTAAATAGTAGGGGTGGGAATCGCAGGGTACCTCACGATACGATACGAATCACGATACATGACTCACGATACGATAATATCACAATACAGCGATTCTGCGATAATCGATATATTGCTAGACAATCCTGTAACGATACATCACGATATCTGTCTAACTATGAAAACAAAATGCCTGTGAAAAGGTTAAGTGCAAGTTTTCTCTCTTTATTAAGTCCAAACTGTTAGAAAACAGCACAAAAGTTCTGTAAAACAAATTTAACATGCTAAGTAAATTAATAATTTTATTCTTGGACTTATTAAAAGCTTACACTTTTCTTTGTGTGTAAACCAACACATTTAACTGCTTATCAACTTTATATATAGCCTATATATATAGAGAGAATGTAAGCAAGCACACACACTGCACAATTCTGCTCCGCATTACGGCACTGACGAGGTTTTGTTTCGTCGCCCATGCCATAGGTGCAGATTTATGTTTCTGCCAGTTGGTGCCCACTGCATAACGCACACTTGCAATATCTGAGAGAGAGGGAGAGCATTCAGTTTTGTTGACATAAAACTGGACGCGCCGGCGGCACTCTCTCACTCGTATAGTTAGTGAGGGAAATCCACCTGCGATCCGAGCGGAGAGGTTAGACTACTCATGGACTGATTATGTGCTCTGCAGTAATAACGTGATCGGTGCCTATGGTCCACGCTAATAGCTGTACCGGGGCAGTTTTTTAGTTCTCATTTCCATAAACATATATATAGCAGTAGAGCTAATACAGACTGGAAATCTGCTTATCCTTCGGTTCCTCGTGCTTCCCCATCTTCATAGAGAACGCGGTTCGTGGTTGCTCAGAGCGGTTTGGAAAGAAGGTGGAAATGGTGCGACCGCGATTTCCACGCATTTTTAGACGCTGGGAGCAGGGAAATCTATATAGAGCGCTTTATTGTAATAATTAAAATATCAATATTTGGCGCCATATATCGATTCTCATATCGCATGGAGAAGGACAATGATATATCGCCATTAGAATTGTGCCGGTATTCGGTAGTGCGATATATCACGGTAATGAATATGCACGATATTGTTATCGTGGGCACTTCTAAATACCGTGAATAATTTTATATTGCAAATTATTCAGAATTTTGAATGCATTTTAAGAATACTTTTCCCATCAACTGGTCAAAATGCACAACGCTGTATGCTGCCTGAAAGACTGCCTGAAAGACGCCTGCGCACTCTGACGTAAACAAGCACGGACGAGAAGCACATGGCGGAACATGTGAGAGATGCTCTGTATGAAGGCGCACGCCATATCGATATATTGTCCCACCCCTAGTAAATAGTAGTGGGAAATGAAGTTTAGCTATATCTGACCACAGGTAGTCCCAAGCAGTCATTATCGAGAAAATGATTAGTGGCAAAGGAACAAGCACTAGTGAAATTTTCATTACATTTATTAGATGCGTTTATCCTTAGTCACATACAGAGGAGGAGGAACATAGCAATTCATCGAAGAGCCAATAATATTCATAATACACAATGCCAGGTTTATTAAATAGATTAGGAAGCAGGAAAAGTATAAATGCAAAAACTGAAAAAGACACTGTCACTGTTGAATTACTTGCTAGTAATAATAGAAAATACTATTCTACACTAGTAGACTATATTAGTAACAAAAATATACGCTAGTTAGCTTTAAGGAATAAAGGTTCAAATGGCTTGCCGCAATAGCTCTTTCTGCCTCCCATCCATCAACAGGTTTTCCGCAATATATTGGCTTTTTATTCTGTGTTCTGGGAATGAGATTGCAGTATTCTGTTAGAATTTAGTTATTTTTTATAGTCTTGTTATAATTTTTTTTTTTGAGTGATTATTTTGTGTGTTACCCAATTTATTCACTGCTAAAACCCCCTTTGTAATAGACGTTTGTGGATGGCGCTGCCTGTATTAACAACAGAGGCTTTTCTGTGTGTGAATTATGTTTTTGTCTGAGGCAAGAGGTATATATAGGTTTTCCTTTAGGAGACTTCAAAGCCACTTGTCTTCCTGTAAGTGCTCTTGAATCCTCATATAACCACCTAGAATATTGTGTAATGGAAGACATGCTATTTTCTGACTGGATTTTTCTCATCCATCCATCCATTCTATATATACTTACAGGTAGTTGAAAGATTAAATACTTTGGGGAAGATGATTTGTCCTGCGTTGTAGCATGTTAAAATCCATCTAAACAGCATGTTTTTGTGACTACTTGCAGCTGATTTGAGCATGTTTATTGAGCGTCAACTATATATATATATATATTTATTTATTTATTTATTTACTTTCATATATATTTATATATACAGCTTTTAATCCTGATGAAAAAAGCTCATGGTCTTGCTCTGCATCATCTCCCCAACACATAAATTCTAGAAAGCAGCAAGTCATCGTTGTTCAACAGGCAGACTGCAGTTAACAGCGTAAGCTGACAGGAGAACTGCATTGGCTTGAGAGGGAATATATATTCTCTTAGAAAAAATAATAGAGATAATAACAATTCTGATATGGGACAATTCTCACTGGCAAACAATACTTTTGTAATGAGATGGTATATTCATGTAAATTGCTTCATGCCAAGGGTAATTTTCAGTCTGCGTGACTCACAGGTAGAGTTTCCATCAGTGCGAGGAGCTCGAGTAGTAAATATTAGAAACACACTGCAGCTTTTGCATAATTCACGATGCCCCGTGATGAATGTTATGGAAGATGAATGGTCTGACACTCCCCACAACAATCAGCACTAATTTAAACCCCTCTAAAATCAAACGAGAAACCTTGTAAAACATACCCGCAGAGAAAAGACTAATGCTCATATATGACACTTGCTCATATATGACAGAGGAGCTGCATTGAAAGTCATTTGCTGGGAAATGTCTGCACTCTTCTGCCGAGATTATCATGTATTTGTTTCTCCTGAATACCAGCAAACTGTTGATTGGCAGTGAATTAAAACGTTTTACCCTTGGTGCATTATCTTTCTAAGATCGTTTGTTGGAATAATTTTCTTTTCTATTTAAAGCGAAAAATTTATAGCTCATTAGATTTACATTATCCCTGCTCAATAAGCCTTGTGCTGATTGCTAAATAATGCACAGCACTACATTATGCTCCTACCAGATGCTAAAGTTGCCAAGATGGAAATGTGAGACAACTTTGCGTAGAAGTGAAGATGATGATGATATGCCATGAGAAAATGATGTTGCCCAGCACAATTATGAGATTTTTTTTATCTATTTTTTTTTTTTGCAATGTCATTAAGGAACTTGAATCAGAATAACCGCATCTCGCATCAAAGGAGTCTTTTTAAGATGAAGTTCAAAGCAGGCTTTAAAGTTATATAATTTTGAAAGCTCAACAATTCTGCTTCATTTTGTGTTTGTGTATTTCAGCAAATA